TCTTTGTCAAGGATAATTTACAAACTGACAAAGGATTTAAATACGCAATTGAGAAATACAAAATACAAATCTCGAATAAAACCTTAACAGTTTGAAATGTATTACGTAAAACATATATAAAAAAAACAGCAAATGGTGACTAAAGATAAAAAAAATTCTTTTAAAAAGATTTTAAAAGAACGAAAATATAAGAAATTCATTTTTGACGTTAATTTATTTTTTACTTTTTAATTGTTTTCTCATCATTATTATGGTTGTTTAATTTTATGATTTCTCAAGATTTTCTTATAATTTTTTCGTATCACGTAAAGTTACCCTAATAATTAAATTAAATCGTGTGGTTAAAAACTTTTAATTTTGTTGTTTTAAATTCGAAAAACCTATATAATTTTTTTCTGTCTTCGTTTTCTTAATGTTTCTAATGAAATTTTAAGGAAAAAATCAACCAAGTGTTTTTATAATAAAATTTTTATATTGTACCTTGATTTGTCGATCTAAAAGAAGTTCAGCAATTAGAAAAACTATATAACTAAAGACATTTTTAATGTCAATTTTTAACCATTCTTTCTGCAACCTTTAACCCATCGTGTACAAAAACTTTAGATGAAATTAATAGAATAAACATTGATCATTTCTAATTATGAAAAATTTATTAAATTAAAAAAATTTTGTATCAGATTGTTGTGTTGTATTTTTATATTCTTGAATCTATCTACAATTTGTGCAAGGAATATTGTAGACATCATCAACTTTTTATATGAATAATATAATTCTCTTTTTTTATAAACCCAATTAAATAAACTATAGACAATTTGAATTAAAAACAAAAAAAAAAAACCATTTTTATTTCATCTCTTTTTTATTAATCCTACATAAATTAAATATTTTGTGTAAAATGCAAGAAAAATAATTAATAAAAGTAATTCCATTTTTAATAAAATTCGAATGGTTTGTTATTTATTTTTAAAATTTACTACTCTAAAAACTTGAGAATTTGAGACAAAAATAATTATTATATACATATGTAACATGTAAGTATATATCTATATCTCAGCTCCTTTTTATATTTGTGATGAACGAATAAAAAATTACAAGCAATTTAATTTTTTTTTCTTTTTCTTTTTTGTATTAAACAATTACTAAAATTTACTTTCATACATTCAATTGAATTAAATAAACAAGTAAATTAAAAAAAAAATATGGGTGAATTTTTCTTTTTTTTTTATTTCAATTGTAAATTTAATATATACTCGTATATACTTATACACATATTTGATCAGTAAAAAAGGATTTTTTATAAGCACTGTAAAAGTTATGGAAAAGTGAAAACCCTATGATATTTGCATGTATATGTATATAGATAGTACTCTGCAATTAAAGTGAAAAATATGGTCATGTAGCACCACATGAATATATTTTTTTTAATATTTTTTTTGAAAAATTCAGAATTATATGTACACAAGTAAATAATTGAAGTTTGATCAAAGTAATTGAAATTTAAATAAAAAAAAAAAATTGGGGAAAAAATAACAAGTTACGAACTGCTAACAAAAATTGTGTTTTTTAAATGTTCAATAATAACTCTTATTGCGAAAAATAACATCTCATTTATATTTAAGATCACTCAAACGTTCTTTATAGTGTTTCACAAGTACGAATTTAAAGTAGGTACAGTGTATTTTTAATTGTTATACACAAACCATGGTAAAAAATAAATAAAATTATAATAAATGTAATATTGGTTTAGGCTGCCAACTTAAAGACTTGTACATACATATATATATATATATGTTGTTAATTTGGCACCATATATAATTATATTAAATGTGTTATATTAAAAATGCGTTTGATTAAATATACATATGCCAATGAGTTTAATCAATCACATTTTTAACATTTTATCCGAATTCGTTATGATTTCTAAAAATAGATTTCTCTTTTGTAACATTTCGTATTTTTATTTGTTTTCAGTTTATCAAATTACAACTTTCAATTTCTGATTAATAGTTTTGTCAAAGGAGAATATCATTTTAGTGTAAAAAAGAAAAATTTTTTTTTTATTTAAAAACATGCCTTGCAAAAATTACGGGGCAATTAACAAAGAAAAATTTAACAAACCGCGAAATTGGAATTGCATATCAACATAATGCATTCACAAAATTGGTGCAGATGGATGTATCGGCAATAAATTATATATGTATTTATAAAAGTATGTAATTAAATTATATGGCTTTGTGAATGAAGTGACGATAACTTTGAAAGTATATGATATGCAATAATTTTATGTACGATTTCTCCTAAACACATGCAATTTTTTTTTAAACTATTCGTCTTGAATATCATTTTTTAATTTTTTGAGTAAAAATTTGTCTTATGTACTAAAAGAAATGAATATTAATTCGTTGTGAGGAATTTGTTGACGTTGAACTACAATTTAATTATAGTTTCATAGTTTATTAATTTAGTGCTAAATAAGTGCTTATATCAGAATAGTAATTTTGATCCTCATGTAACTCGATTATATACAATGCAAGTAACTGCTTTCAGGTCAATCAAAAATACAAATTTCGTTATACACAAAAACATAGCAAAATATTTAATAAATTTATAAAATATTTGAATTTTAATTATTAAATGCACGTTTTATTTACGTAAAAAATGCGTTTCATTACCATTTTTAAGCGTATTTTTTTAAAAATTCCATACAAGTGAAATTTTTTCACCGTCTTTATTTATTCATAACGAATATAATATGGACAAAGACTTCACCAATATAAATAGTTTCATATACATTTATATAATATGTATGTATATGCTTTGCTTACTGGAAATGCAAAAAAATTATTTATTAATTTTATGCTTAAGCACAATAGAAATATGTTCATAAATGCATTTTACATTTGCATACATATTCATGACAAGCATTATATATTATATAATTATGTATGTATGTATGTATTTCAATTAGGTATTCCGAAACTTCAAAATGATTATTCTTGACACTTTATTTTCTGAATTAAATTGAAAGTAAAACAAATAAAAATGTACAAACGAAGACACATTATTTACAAATATATTATACAAATATACCTATATTATAGAAATATTTTATTTCCAAGAGAGAGTTTCTAAGTCAATAAAACCATAATAAAAATCTCAATTGATATATTCTTCACAAAAAAATAAAATAAAACAAAATGATTAATAAAAATAATTATTAAAGTTTGAGCGCAAACTTAATAATTAATTTGCAAATATACACATTCATATATATACTTATATTCATATTAGTCATATTCTTCACCTGAGTGATTATCATTGGACTTCTTTTGAGAAAATATCACACATCTCTTAATAAAATCTATGTAAGCATAACTTTCATTTATATGTTCATATGTATATATATGTATATATGTATATATATATATATATATATATATATGTATGCATATAAATAGAAATATTCCACAATGCTATATGATACAAAATTTAATTATTTAATAGCGCTCACTACATTTACACTTTTTTAATTTTTTCCTACATTTATGTTTTCTATACATCCATACACATTTATTTTGTATTCTATAAATGAATTGCTTTTTATTGAACTTGTATTATTATTTTATTAACGTCTTAGCTTGAAGTTTAAGCAATTTATTTTTAATATTATAGTATACCGATGGTGCAGGCTTTTCAATTTTAGGTCTAGTTTAAATATTTTGAAATTGTTATTTGTGTTTTAATAGAAATATTATTATGAGTTTAGTATAGTAATGTTCTTAATCGACACATTTGAATATAACATACATATATTCTTATTATACGCGACATACAAAATATTCGAATAATTTATTTAATTATTTCTGCATTGAAATGAATTTATTAATGAAACTGCATGGAAATTTTTCAGATATTTTAAGATAAAGAACTTGTGCTTTTTCAAAAATACACACTATGTCCCTTAATATATTAAAAAACTAAAGTGATAAAACTGCTAAAAAATTAATCTTAACTTAAAATTGAATTTAGTTACATTTTTTTACTTGGTCATTTTTTTCTCCCAAGCCTTTATTTATAATTTGTCCAATTTTAAAGACTGTTACATAATTTGAAATTAATAAAGTGAAAAAAACATTTCAAATACATTATTTCTTCAGACGTGGTTTCACGCCTTTAATAAAATCACTATATGTACCTAAATAAAATCTATTTGAAAGTATGCAAACAAATCGGTTTGCAATGATTAATAACAAGACATTATAAAAATTGATTGTATATTACAAAAGCTTTGAACTTATTTTCAATTTGTTATTTATAATTTGAAATTTATAAAATTTTTAAATAGCCTAACTCCTTTTTCGTTTTCGAGACTAAAATTATTGAACATCTATTTACAAATTTACTTCTATTTAAATATCTATTGCACTTCATTAATATGGAAAAACAATTAAATATAATAACATACAAATTTACTCATTTTTTATATGCAACAAAAATATTTCCAAACCATATAAAAGATCCCAATCTCAATTCTGAAAAATATGTGTAGAAATTTAAACAATTTATTTAAGATACCTTAGAGTTGCTGAAAATACTCATTCACCTTCTATAATGTAATATTTTTAATATTGATGTAACATATTACATGCAAATATATGCATATACATATATGTGTAAACAGTTAATATAACTTCTTTTTACGTCATTATCACTGTCTGGAAGACGTGATTTCCCAATTTTTTTTCTCTCTTTTTTTTTAATATTTCTACTAACATTATATTAACAACTTACTTCAAGTATTTATGTATTGGTAAATATATTAAATAAATGTAAGTATAGCTGTAAGAATATAAATATATATTATGAAATACGTATTAATTTGGGGATATACATTCATATGTGTATATATGATAAGTATGGTACACGCTTACAGGTAAATCTCGACAACTTAAAATAATTTTTTCAATATAATATCTTTTTAGTGCATTGTTGAACTTTGTTTTGAATTGAACGCCAATTGAGATTTCTATAAAATAAAAGTGAATAAAATAAAACTTAAAGGATAGTTACGATATAAAAGAAGTTCAAGAGAAAGTAAGAACAATAAAATTGTAAGATTTCAGTGTTATTTAACACTATTCGTAACTTCACCAATTAAACATTCAGTTTTATTAAAGAAGCGAAATATTACTTGAATTATATTCGTATATATACAAATAAATATACATGTAAGTATGTACATTAAAAAGTGATACTAAGAAATTATAATAAACACAGCTATACTAAACACATACATTTAGTATAACTAAAAGATGTTTAATTATAATGCAACGGATGACTCTTAAATTTGAAATGTAAAATTAAAAATACAAAATTCTATAGAATTTGTTTTCAGGTTTTTAAAAATTAAGTTTTTAACCGTTTGAAAGTAAAAATTTACGTTAAATTTTACTATAACAATAAATTATTTTAATTCTAAATATGTTACATTTATAAATATGAAATAGTAATCATAGTGAAGTGAAGAAGTTTTTAGTTGACGTGCATATAAAATTATTATTTGCAAATATACAATTAATTTTTATTAATTCATTATTATCAACTATTTCCAATTTTATAAGTTAATTAATCAATTTACCCTAATTTATAAAATTTTTAATAGGATCAGACATTTTTTACCAAAATTTGAATTACGTCAACCTTCTAGAATTTAAAAAACTATTTTTTAATTTCAACTTACTTTTTCAAATTTAATATAGTAAATACTATATTTTTGTATAGTACATAACACGTTTTTTTTAAATGAAAATATTAAATAATCGCTATTTCTATTAATTGCAAAAAAAAGTAATACAAATGCAAAGAAGATCAAAAATATTGTAAATTAATTAAATTATTTTTAATGAATCCAACAATGATTTTGTTGAATGAATTCAGTAATGATTTTCTAAAAATATGTTAGGTATAAATTTTTTAGATTATATGAAGCAACAAATAAAAATCCTACATTATAATAAATGAAAAATCGTTTATAGCACCATATCGTTTGCAAGGAGGAAATAGAGATTTGTCACTTAGCCTAGAAAACAGCTAGAAGCTCATTCAAGCTTCCAAGTAAAGTAAATCATGTCAAATACACCGAACTCGCCATGTTTTCCAAAATTAGAACCATTATTAGTGTAGCTTTTTGATTATCCTCCTTCTCCCATCTCCTCCTCGAACTTTACCCATCTCCCCACTTGCTTTCATTAAAAAATACCATTTTGAAAGTTGTTGTAAATTATAGTAAAATATTATTATCCTCTATCTGAAGTTGTAAAAGAATTATGTGAAATTGCCTTCTAAAATTAAAATTCATTATCTCTAATATTTTCTAAATGTTCAAAAAAGGTATTTTCTAAATATAGCCTTTAATATTTCACAATATATTAGCAAAATTTCCAAGTTCTTTATATTTAATTAAACTTGCTTTTTAGATAGTCATGGATACACGCTTTTAAAATGTATTTTGGAGAAGTGATTATTCTAGAATATCAAAAATTTCACGAAAAAGTTTAATGAACTCATCACGATTTAATGTACATTCACTCTAATACATACAAATAAATCAATAATGAAACGAGAATAATAAAAATTTTAGCATTAATCAATACCTAATTTTGTAGTTTTTGGCAAATTTCTTATGTGTATAAGTTGTTTTTTCTCTTAAACAAAAATAAATAGTCCAATTCTAACATATACATTGCACACATAGATGAATGTTAAAATATTAAAAATGTAAGATGAACGTTATTAAATAAAATGTGTTAAATGTATTTTTTTTTTAGTTTCCCTTATGAGTTGAACAATAGGATAATTTTAGCTTTTTTACGCTTACTAAACTCATTTCTCTTATAATTTTTTATTTTCATTTAAAAAAATTTAAAAATAATAACGAACTTTAGATTCATTTTACCAACCAATCTCGTTTCTTTTGTTATTTTCTTCTTTTTACATTCTACAAAGATATTTTTGAATAATTATTTGATTGAAGTTCAAGGTTTAATTTAAATTCAAGTTTTTATTTAATTTTTTTTTTAATTTTTTTAAAAGAAACCTAAATCTTTGTTTGTAAAGCCTGTTAGATTTTTTAAAAAATATTTTAATGAATTAATAAAAAAAAAATAATGAATTTTCGAATTCCCATAAAAATTTCCATACTTGACACCCGTGCTGTTTATACCCAATTGATGAAAGTTTATTGAACAAATTAATAATTTTTTTAAAGAAATATTTCAGTCGAATTTCAAAATATTGAGTGTGTTTTCATTTTATAAAAACTAAAAAAGTTCATGACATGTCCTTTTTTAAAAGAAATATCATAGAAAATTTCGAAATCTCTAACATTTTTTTATGCACTAATAATTATTAATATATTTCAAGAAAAACTTGAAATGAAATTGATAAATAACACTTCATACTGAAATATTGGTTCAGTTACATATGTGACTAAAACTAAAATATTTTTAATTTATAACCAATTAAAATAATTCTTAACTCTAATTAATAATAACTTAATTTTTATTGGCTTACATTTTCATTTTAAACGAATTTTAATTACTTTTTGTTCCTTGATAATTTGTTTTTAAAAGAATCTCCTGATCGTTTTTGTTTTTAAATTTACTAAAATTTAAATACAAAAAATTACATTGTCGTAATTAGGCTATCAAATTTAAAAACGCATTCTCTTATGCTTTATATTATTATATAATTTTGAATTACATAACATCTTAAAGAAAAATATATAAAAATTTATATATGTATAAACATTTTTGAACTGTTTCAATTATCAGGGATTCAATTTTATATTTCTTAATTATTTATCAGATAGATACTAAATTTTTCAATATTAAAACATTTTGTTTCTCTCTAAATCTCTTGATCTGATGAAATCTCTTGAATAATAACAAAATAATAGAAATGTTAGAAATTTTGTGAAGACGATCGCCGCTTATTAAAGTGTAGATCAAAATCGAAAACATTGTTGCTATAACCACTTCAATCGGAAATAAAACCGGCTACGGTATAAAAATTTTTTGTTTTTTTTTTCTTTTTTTTCCAGTTCTTATTTTGTTGTTTGTATCTATTTATTACATCGTAAAACATAAACCTACTACTACATAGAATATTATTTTTTTTTATTTTTCTTCATTTCACCTTGTATTCATTTTATTTACACTCTTTTTTATTTTTATTTTTTCCAGATTTTGAAGTAAAATACTCTTGAATATCAACAATTTTTTTAGTCGCGTTTTTTGTTTTACGCCACTATCAACAGCATTCAAGAAGACCAACAACTTTAATTTACGTACATACATACATACATACATAAATAGCCCCACCAAGAGAGACAAAATTATTCAAAAAAAAAAACCAATATTGGAAAAATTAAGTGTACCATCTCTCCTGAGACATCATAACTTATTTTATCTCTAAAATTACAAAACATAAAAAAAAATAATAATAACCAAAAACCAGTAATTTACTTTTATTAACCAAAGAGGTAAAAATTTTTAAAATATATAAATTAAACTAGTTAAACTAGTAACATCAAAATTCTCATAGCATTAGTCTTACAAATAACGTTGTTCCCATCAAAACCTTTGCGAATGCTAAATATACAAAATTAAATTAAAAGAAAAAGAAAAAAAAAAAACAATTTAAAAACCTTGTAATAATATAAAAATTGTGAATATTCTCTTAATTTGGAATTATAATCAAGTAGCTACACGATTATTTATTTTGTAACTGGTTTAATAAAAAATTTTACAAAAATTATATAAAAATAGAGCTGTATAATATTAAAATTGAGATAAAGATAGAGAAGAAATGAACGTTTTCGGTCTTGATGTATGCACTGTATGTATACCAATCATTATTGCAACATTAACGGTTGGTTTTGTAACACTTTTGATCGCATTAAGATTTTACGTGGCAATCAGTTGTGGAGTTTGTAAAAATAATCGTACAATGGAAGGCAAAACAATTATTATAACAGGTGCTAATGGTGGTATTGGTAAAGAAACTGCTAGAGATTTAGCAAGACGTAAGGCTCGTGTAATTATGGCATGTCGAAATTTAGAAACAGCAGAAGCAGCACGTAAAGAAATAAGTGAAGAAACTGGTAATAATGATATTATTGTCAAAAAACTAGATTTAGGTTCATTACAATCAGTAAGAGATTTCGCAGCTGATATCTTAAAAACTGAAGAAAGAATTGATATATTAATACATAATGCTGGTATGGCATTGGCATTTAAAGGTGCAACAAGTGTTGATGGCATTGAATTAACAATGGCAACAAATCATTATGGTCCATTTTTATTAACCCATTTATTGATTGATAAAATTAAGGCGAGTACACCAGCCCGTATTGTTATTGTTGCATCAGAATTGTATCGTTTAGCATCAGTTAATGTTAATAAATTAAATCCAGTTGGCTCATTTCCAGCTGCATATTTATATTATGTATCAAAATATGCCAATATATACTTTGCACGTGAATTGGCAAGACGTTTAGATGGTACAGGTGTTACAGTAAATTCATTACATCCTGGTATGATTGATTCTGGTATTTGGAGAAATGTACCATTCCCATTAAATTATCCAATGATGGCAATAACAAAAGGTTTCTTTAAAACAACAAAACAAGGTGCTCAAACAACTTTACACGTTGCAACTGATCCAGAATTGGAAAATGTTTCTGGTAAATATTATATGGATTGTAAAGAACGAGGTTTATCAAATGCGGCACAAGATATGGAAAAAGCTAGAAAAATATGGGAGGAATCAATTAAACTGGTTAAATTAACTGATAGTGATCCAAAAATTTAATGAAATTAAATATTCTTATTATAAGTAGGGAAGTATTTGAAGGGTAATTGAAAATTTGGAAAACAAAATGTAAATTATAGATTATTAAAAACAATTTTTGTGCACTGAAGATGTATTTTGGAATTTTCTTATAAAATTTTTCATAAAAATGTATTTTTTGTCTTGTAATTACTTTTATTTTTGATATATTGTGTAAATCTTCTGGTGTATGCTAAATTTTACCATCTTTTAAATTAATTATAATAGCTATTTCAAGCTATAATTATATGTAGTTAAAAACATTAGAAATTACAAGCTTATTTTCTCAAGCTTAAAAAATTTTACTCAAATTTATTTTTATTTAAAAGAAAAATAAAGTTAATAATTTTTTAATAAAAAAACTATGTACATTTTCATTGTCTTTAAACTCCAATAAACAAATTTATTTTTTACTAACGCCTAAAAATGTATGTATATATGTACCTGAAAAAAAAAATTTCTATATAATCCGATTTTCTAATCCTGAGCATCTTAAAGAATAAGATACTCATGACTATTCTAATCTAAGACTTATTAATAAAAATAGTCTATTTCCATTGATACTTTCTAGGAATTCTACAAAATCAAAATAATTAGATCATGCCACAGAGCCAAAAAATTTTATAAGTATTGCTTAGATGAGTAACTTGTTTGTAGTGTATTTTAAATTTGTTGTTTAAATTAAAATTTTAATTTAAGCATAATTATTTTAATAGCATAAAGAAAACTTAACTCTTTGATTACAAATATTTTATTATCCTAAATGATAATAAAAGAATTAGTATTTAAATTAAAAAAAAAAAGTCATCGTCAGCTTTTCAAGTTTAAATAAATTATGAAAGAAAACTAGATGAAAACCTTGAAATCATCACCTTTCATTAACAACACAAATCCTTTTTAAAAAAACTAGACATAGTTTCGAACGCTGCAAGTATTGGAAAAAAATTTTACAAGTACACGATATCATAATGTATTTATGTATATATTTTAAAGTAAATTATAAGCATCTCATTTCTTTTTCATATTCGGACATATAAAACTTGTTTTTTTTTTGTTTTTCATTTTTCTTTAATATATACAGCGCCAGTGCAAGTACTTACCTACTATATACAGGTACAGCTTTTATAAGTATACTCACCAGCATGCGAAAATTATGATATTTGCAACTACTATTTGAAAGACGGTAAAACTACTATTTGAAAAACAATTAATTTTTTCCAAATTTTCATTATCTACTGGCCAGTTTAAAAATAGGTATAATTTTTGTATACAATTGTGTACCTTAATTTGAATATATATACATAATTAAATTACTGTCTAGGCAAAATCATCAAGTTAAGTATAATTATTTTAGATTAGATTTTAATGATTTCAAGAGTAAGAGAAAATAAATATTAAAATTAATTTTTGTTTAGAAATACTTACTTCCTACAATTAATTAATGGTGTACCATAAAGCACCTTTGGCACCAAACATACCTACCCTAAAAAAAAAGAATTTTTGACGTAGTCATTTAAACCATTTTATTTATAATAAATAGATAAATCTTATGTGTGCTCTATAAAATTCTCAAAATGTATTCCTTCGTAATTTGCATTGAATCATAAAAAGAGTTTATAAAAAAAGAACTAGAGTTCGTCAAACTTAAAAAAAAAAACTATCGGTGCGATACTAGAAAGTGATTTCCCTTATCTTATTAATTTTAATTTTTTATCAAATAATTTAAATTTCTACAAAAAAAAATTAAATTTTTTCTTTTAACAATGAATTCATTATGATTGATAGAAACAGAAAGTGAAAAATTATTCAAAATAATATCATAATACACAAATTTCTTCTCGTTACATACATAGGAGCTAATCAACTTTCCCCAAATATACGTAAACATGTAGAAAAATAAAAAAAAGAAGATGGATTTGAAGTCCAAAGTCAGTTATGTAAAGATTGTTTTGAACTTTAAAAGTATGGTATAAAGAAAATAAATCACTAAAATTAAGAAAAGAAAAAAATTCAAAATTACAAAATTTCAACACTTTTGGGAGTATCAACGACAAACTGAACGAAAATTTATATTATTAAACTTAATATTAATTTTACTTAAATGAATAGTGGCAATTGAGGATTTTCGACAATTCAGTTCTTACTTAGATCTTAATATAAAACAAGTTCGATTAATACAAACTGCAAAATCCTTAAATACAGCATGTTCGAAAAAGGCAGTTGAGTTGAAAATTCAAATGGAATTTTTAAGTTTTTTTATAGGTACTGCAAAAATACGAGTATTAAAAATTAGAATAGCAGCATAATAGAAAAAGGTTAGATGTTGAAACATTACTGGAGTATCCAACAAACCCGCAAAAGTAACCATTCAGTTGCTATAGATTTGTAAGTGTTTGTGAAAAGACATTTTAGATTTAATTTAGAACTTTCAATTAATGGGTTTCAATAGTTTATGATTTGAATAAAACTTGTAATGATTTGTAAACTACCGATTTAATTAACAGGAATTTCATTAATTGATTTTCAAATTGGTTTTGATTTTTTTTCAAGTTGAATTTTTAGCATTATAAATAAAACTATAAATTTGTAATAATCTTAACGAGCAATTTATATTGACAAAAAAATCATCGAACAAATGATGCCTCTCAGATAAACGGCATCGATTCATATATTGTAAAATTAATTAAGATAAAATTAAAGCCAATACTTTAGTGAAAACTAATTTTATAAACTCTAAAAGAAAGTGAATTAAAATAGAGAACTGATATATTGAAACTAAAAGGGAAAAAGTTAACCATCAAGTGTTAAACACAAAAAATGGAGAAATTTCTTTTAAGTTAAGATTTTTTACAGTTACATATTTATTGGAAAATATTATTTGGAGAAATTTTGAAATAATCTTTTTTGCATTAAATTCACATTTTTTATTATTTGATGATGATAGAAAAATTTCTTTCAAATCTTTTGAAGAAAAATTTCTTTCAAAGTTTTGAATTTTTTTATTTTTAAGTTCGAAAACTCCTAAAATTTATGGGACACACACTAAGATAAAATACAACAAAGTATAAAAACGCGATTTATGGATATAAATCTTAAAGCAGATCGTAATATAAGATACATATGTTCTAAATAATATTCTTCACGTTAAATTATTAGTAAAATTAGATTAAACATTTTTAATCTTCTTACTTTAATAATATTTCGTGGTTAACGTTGTGTGATGTTGATACATTTTCATCATCAACATCAGATTAACCACGAGACAATATTAAAATAATTTCATTTGTTTCAATAAAACTTCTTTGCTTTATCACGCTTAGTTTAACATTTTTTGCAAAAGCGGTGAACTAAAAATATTGGTAAATCTACAGACGTTTTACTTAGTATAACCAGTTTAAATTAGACTACTTGTATGACCAGGTATTTTCTTACATACACCGATATAACAAAACTACAAAAACGATATATTTTTCTGCAAATATGAAATGAAACTCTTTATCAAATTTAATCCATTCCAATTGTAAAAATTTAAGGCCATTTATGTATTTTCTATTTTTTCAAAATTATCAAAAATACACATTCGCATTTTGAAATGGTTTATTTTAACTTCTTAAATTATTTATTTTACTCCTCATTATGTGATTGAAATACATAATATCATATAGTTATATAATATTTTAATAATAATAATTGATTCAATTACAATTTAATAGGTTTACCATTTTTTGATTAAATAACTTTATATTTAATTGTTACAAAAATGTTTTAATCGGGTGCTATAAAGATCTTTACAATAATTGTTACATTATACAAAAATTATTCATAAATTATATATATTAAAAGCTTAGAAATAACATTATCATAATAAAAAAAAAAGTATTTATTTTGAATAAATAAAAAAGTGAAAATTAATAAGACGCGAAATAAATATTTATTCATTCTACTACCTTTCTATGCTTCAGAAACATATTAAATTTTATTTTAATCAATAATTTAATTCTTTATTTTAATTGGTAACTTTTCCATAATTTTATACATTTAAATACAATTAAAAACTAAGTTACTTTAACCTTTTGTTGAAATTTTATTAAAAAATAACGTTCTTTTATAATTAAATTCGATCACAATAATATGATTTGATTTCATTTTACAAATTTTATCAAAATAAAATTATTAATATAATAAAATTAGTAATAGTACTAACGAGAATGCAGAGATATTCAAAACAATATACCCAAAAACCCAAGTAAGGTGATTAAATGAAATATACAAATTAATACTTTCAAAATACATAATAAATACATTATAATCATAATATATAATAAATAAATTACATTATTTTGCATTTTCGTTATAACAAATGTTACGAGTTGGTTCAATTTGCCAAATACAATGAATTGAGGGGAAGTGAACATTTGTCGAAAAATTTGAAGCAATTTTTAAATACCTTTTTTTAATTAATTTTATAACAATATCCTGTCATTAAAAATTGAAATATACAAAAAACTTAATAATATTGAAATTTGTGGCAAATTGCCATTCAAAGAACAAAAAGTTTATATTTTTATAAAAAACAAACATTTTTTTTTAATATTTAATTTTTACAATTTCTTTTTTATTAATTTTATTTAGTAATTTGCGAAAAACACTTTGCCGAATTAATTTTATCTCATTTTTATAATATATTTCCTACAATAATTACGAGTATATTTACTTATGCCTTTTTAAAAATAAATAAAACAAATAAATGCGTTACAAGCACCTTATAATTATTATTATTCATAATGAGTTTTTATTTTGAGGACTACCAATGCATCTTATAATTAATACGTAAATTATAAAAATTTTTGATAGGTAAATAATTCGTCTCACGATCCACTATTCTTTAGAACACGAATTCTAAATTAATGTGTTATAACTTATACATAAAATTAATTTCTGCAAAAACATTAATATTATAATGAATTTTATTATTTTTTAAATGTTATAAATATGTACATGCAATAATATAATGAAAAATAATACAAATACTTTCGACAGATAAGAATGTTACATATATTCTCTTAAACGCCCTGCTTAAGACTACTGGATATTATTCAAAAATGTAATAAATTTTCAAAAGAAAATAAGTTTCGACATGTAAATTTGTGAACGGGAAACTTTAATACTTTTGAATAATATTTCATTACTTCAAATGATACATGTAAGAGAATATGGGTAAGCAAAGTTAAAAAAATAAGTTTTACATATTATTAAAAATTAAATATCACACATTTGTATTTAAGAAAACCTTACAGGCAATGTTTGGACAAAAGCGACATAACACTTTCAAATCAAATAATCTTTCATATCAAAGCATTGAAACAATTTTTTTCTTAACAAAATTAACAAAATCATTTCTCATTTAACAATATTAAAAACATTTAATGTTTCCACTAAATTTTTGTAAAAGCGAATATGATATGTTTCAGCATTACGAGGAATTGAAAACAACTGTTAACATGAACTGTAATTCTATTAATCTGATGTCTTAATATCCGTCAAGACAATACAATTTCTTAACTCGTCAATTGATTTTTGTAAAAAATTTTCTTATGTTCATTCGTTTAAGTGAAATTTCATCAAAATTTTGAAAGTGAATTAATATTTTGTAAGTCAACGACTATTTGTTTTTAGTTTTAAATGCTATTATCCACTTTGTTCATGCATATTCAAATTAAAACGAGAAAAAATAAAAACAATTTTTGTTTTTAATTTAGTTAAATAATAATATTTCTCTTTATTTAATAGCATTCCGTCGTCTAATATTTCATTCACTAAAAAACTTTAAAAAGCTGTTTCAAAACTAACCATGTTGTTTTTATTCTTTGTAGTGTTCTATTGTGAACCTCATTCTACATTTCACCTTTTTCAAAACATAAGTGACTATATGATATATAGAGACAAAATCAAATGAATCCTATTAAAAACATTGCATACATATTATAGGTATTCAATTAAAAAAAAAATGAGAATTCTAATTTAAAAGCAAGTAAAGAAAGTAAAAAATGTGACTTAAACATTATGTATTCAAAGTTACTATTCAACTACATATTACCTATTTTATAATCCTACATAATATTTCAAACAGAATTTATTAATGATTTCGTTAACATATTTTTATCTAATAAACTTGAGTATTCATGGATACAATTATCAATTAATTATGCAGCTTTTTTTTAAATTTTGACAACATTTTATCAAAATAATAAATACATTACTCTTTTTTTAATTTTTTATAAAAAATTTCAATAATTTTCTGAACTATCTTTACTGTTGATAAACAGTTACAATCAAAATATATGTTTTCAAGAAATCAATTGAAGTGATAAATGCAAAATAATATAAAATCTTAAACAAATACAAATTCAATCATTCTTTGAATTTGTTTTTGATAAAAAAAATGATTTTTTTCAATTAAAAACATTTACGTACATATTAGTGACAAAAACTGTTTTAAAAGCAATCATTAATGCAAAATTAAAAGTTGGAAGCAATCAGAATTTTATGTAAATATTATGTCACACAATATTCTTCTGTATAAAATGTTATTTCTGTTAATTCAAAAAAAAGCATCATAACATAAAAAGTCAAAAATTCACCATTTTTTGTTAATATGATAAATTCAAGTTCGACGGATGATATCTTCGTATTTTATTTCAGAATTTGCTTTAGTTTTTTACTAGTCAAAATATGCAAAATGTGCATATACGTTATAAAAACTGTTCAAATATTCACAAAATTGAATTTTGTAAAAACAGATTCTTTTTACTGTTCTAACATTCTTTTGGTGAAAAGTGGAAAAGTTTTTTTTTAATTTAAAATAGCTAATCATCATTGAAAAAGTTTCAAAACAGAATGAAAATTTTCACAAACACATAGAAATTAATATTTCTTAAAGAAATTAATATTCTTTAACAAATTTCAAGATCATTTTACAACATTTATATATTAAATTATTGATAATTTAGAATATTAATATACTAAATTTTATTTTGACGGGTTTAAACTAAGAAAAGGTATCTTACCAAGATTTCAAAATAAATGTGTACACAGATATTAATACTATTATTTATTGAATTGGAATAACGCCAGCTCCAACACCTCCTCCATGAGCGCACATAGAGGCAACAAATGTCCATTGATTTGCTTCCGGGTCATATACTTCTACTGTTGACAAATTTGATTCACCATCATAACCTCCAATTGCCCAGAGTTTCCCCATATTTGCGGCTAGCGCCACTCGACTTCTTTTAACATTCATTGGAGCCACTAATTTCCAAGTATCTGTATTAGGGTCGTACATTTCTACGGATCTCAAAAATGAATTCCCATCATATCCACCACATGCATATAATTTTCCGTTAAGTGTAGCCACTCCCAGGCGACAGCGCCGATTTAACATTGGTTTTACCTTAACCCAAACATCTTCAGCAGGATCATAACGTTCTACACTGTCGAATATAGATAGTCCATCATGACCACCTAAAGCGTATACAAAACCTCCAAGAGGCGCCACACCTCCGGCCGAACGATATTTCATCTAATAAAAACAAAAGCTTTTAGGTATAAATTTTTATTTTTTTTCATAAGTACCATTGGCGCTACAGTCTTCCAAGTGTCAGTTTTTGGGCAATAGCATTCAACAGTGCTTAACGATGTAACACCATCGTATCCACCACAGACATAAACATGGCCATCTAAGGCAGCAACTCCAACAGCACTGAAATTTAATTTTTATAAAAAATGATTTTTGATTTATTAGTTAAATAACACCTTCTTTTACATAACATTGTCCGCCCTTGACACCATTTCTTTGTTTTAGGATCATAAACTTCAACTGTTGATAATCTTTCCGAGCCATTGAAACCTCCGAAAGCGTATAGTTTTCCTCCTGTAACAGCTACACCAACTCGGGATCTTAACATTGACATTTGTTCGCCCATTCTCCATTCCTTAGTTATTGGATCATAAATTTCTACTGTACTGACAGATTCTCCGTTTTTTGTTAACCCTCCAACAGCATATATATGTCCAATAATATAATCACAACATCTAGCTCTTGTTCTAAAATATTTATTTAAATATTTTCTCTTAAATTCAGAAAAAATTACTACCGAAAACTTTGTATTAAACCACGACGTTCAGGCATTAAATGAAAGTCCTTGGCCTCATCTAATAAATCGCGACATTGATGTGATGTTCTTATTAAGTCTTCTGTAGCAACACGATCTGCTAAATACTGTGGCGACAATAATGGAAGTCGTACTTTTGATAATACTTGTGGTAACATTGGAGCACGCTTTTCTTCATCAAATTTCACCCACCTCATAGCAGCTTCAAATATATTTTCTTCAGTTGGAACATTAAGTTCATCTTTGCGAATTATTTCAATTAATTCGTCAAAACCCAAATTTAAAAACTCATCAGATAGAGAAACTTTCGAAAAATAATGATGAATATATTTATCCGCCGCATTTACAAGCGGAATGCAGCCAAGTGAATCTGCAAATGTTCGAATACCCAACACGTTATGTGGACTGAATCTGAAAATTTAATAAGGTTGGAGATATAACTTTGTTCTTTAATCAAAACTGAAAAAAAACCTTTCAATCAGAAAGTCAGCACAAGCATTGCGAACTTTATTTAATTGCAAAAATGATGCACCAACCATCAAGCCTTGAACATTTGAACTATCAATACGCACTTGCCCACTATACGCAAAATTTATTAAACTTTCAAGTGCTCTGAAATAAAAAATCTAGTATAAAAGCAACTAAAATTTGTTTAAATATATACTCTGGCTCAATTTCCTTCATTGTTATCTCTTTAATCCTACTTTCAGCCATATTATGAGTAAACATTGCATAAAAATACGGTATTGTTGCTGCTAAAACAATTCTATGTGCTGAAAATGATTGATCTTCGACCTTTAAATTTTAAATGCTTTAATATTTTCTATTGGAGTATTTAAATAACAATTGCAAAATAATTTACTTTTAATGTTACATCACACAAATTCCCTTGTCTTCGAATTTCTTTCATTAATGGAAAGCCTTATATAAAAAGAAATTAAAAATTTGTGACGTGAATTTTAAAATGAAATCAAATATGGAATTAAAACTTACTTTCACTAAAAAGATCATCTTGCTTGAAAATCACATATTTTTCGTCATCTGCTCCATTTTCTAGCAAATCCATTCTTAGTTAAAAATAAAAACGAAAATTCTTGATGAATTTCTAAATTATATTTTTATCTAAAATATATTTAAACCTAAATCTTTTCTAGTTTATGTTTTTGTTTCAAAACTTACTTTTATATGAAACAAAAAACACAAACAACACAGATTGACATATGATAGCTGTTTTTTGGTAGGTGGTTTTTTAATTTTTTTAAATAAAGAGAAAGAGAGTGAATTAATGTAAAACAAAAAAAAAAAATTAATATTACACAAAATAGAGATGGCACAGTAGGTGTGGTACATGAATAGAGTAAATAATATAATTTTGGGAAATTGTTTTGTCTCATAAAAATTCTTTTAATGTTCTTTTCAAACAATCCGCATTTGCAATAAACCCTAACCCTTCTTTATTACTTATAATCTACTAATCCAAAAACAATTTTTTTTGTAATTTATTTATTGAATTTCGAGCTATTCCCTTTATAAGAATTGAGGATATGTTATTATTAAGCAAAACAGAATAAATAGCTTAATAGCAATTAAATAGTTGTATTGCTATTTTATCTTAAAAGCAAATGAAAATTCTGTTTTAGATAAAATAGTAGATTTAGTCTAATGAATAAGTGGCGCCTTGGCAATATAATAGAATAAAAACGCTAAAAACGGTGATATTACCACAAAAGGCAGGCTAATACCGTATTTTGAGAATTCTCACTTTTTTATTATTATTTATACCCTTTGTTGCGTAAATTTAACCAAAACTATCGATATCGTTTTATATCAGATTTCAACTGCCCTATATTTATAATAATTTATTTCTTATTATAAATGCATAATATAAATTCTATGGAAAGTTTCGTGAGTCTCGAATAAAAGTACATTAACAAATAAGTTGACATTAGTCATTAGTATGTTGACAATTGACATTCGCGTGAATTTTTTTTAGACAATTAAGTTGACATTAGTCATTTGTATGTTGATAATTAGCATTTGTGTAATTTTTTTTTAGACTTTATTTCAATTTCGTACGTTTTTTAATTTAAATTGCAAATTGCAACGATTTATTACCCTTAATATTGCTAATAGATATTATGTACATACATGTATTTAAGTTGTATAAAATTTATAGATATTTCAAATTTTCATTATGAAAGGCACAGACAAATTTATTGCGCGGGTTGAAACTTATGGAGAGCTCTATGATAACAACAATCCTAATTCTAGTAATTCTAAAAGGAAAGATGAAATATGGGAGAGTTTGTCTAATGAATTTAATTGTGATGGTAAGCGGAATTTTTATTTGAATAACTCTGGAATATGAATCATTTTATATTTTTGATTGAATTGTAGCAAAAAGAAAATGGCATACATTAAGAGACAGATATGTGCGAGAAAAGAAAAAGTCTCGTACTTTGGAGGGTTTCGAAAGTCGATGGTATTATTATCATCAAATGGACTTTCTTGACAAGTATATAAAATCCAGAAGGCTAGTATACATAAATTTATGATTATAAGTTATATAGTGATAAGTAATTTTTAAATATTTTAGAAGGGTCCCAAGAAATAAATTTTCTGTTTTTGTACCCGAAAATGAAGAATGTGACGAAACAAAGGAATTTGAAGAAGGTTTTGAATATGAAACAAAAAACGTTAAAGAATTTTTTGATGATTTTTGTACAACCATGACGGATTTAAAAAGTTCAGAATCATCAGAAGGAAAACATAAAGAATATTCGAAGACAGATTCTTTCACTATTCATCAAAAATCAAAGCGGCCAAAAGCTCAACAAAGTGTTTCAATTCAGCAAAATATTCTAAAAGTACTGCAGATGCTTCAAGAACAGATCGAAAATGTTGGGTATACAAATAACCACGACGAAGATACTATTTTTATAGAACTTGTAGTTAAAAAAATGAGAAAAATGTCTCCAACCGAAAAGTCGGCGTTTCAGGTAGATATTTTAAAACAAGCAGTAAAAATATTAAAAGAAAAACATTAATTACTGCAGGAGAAACATAAATTACTGCCAAGTAATAATTATAATAAAAGGTACCTACATTTCATTTTATACCAAAAGGAAGAAAACAAAATTTGAATATAATGAGCATATATATAAAATGGAAGTTAAAGATAATAAGAGAATGGAACAAGACTCATACTAAACAGTAGAGTTTTAAAATGCTTTGACTAATATTTGAATAAACCCAAATTCTTTTTAAAATAATTGCAAAAACCATTGCTCATTATCTTCTTCAAATTTCAGTTTAAAATAAGATCCAGAATTTAAATGAACAGAAAAATTTGCACATCAAAAATTTAAAGATCAACTTGGAGTTTTAAATATAATTTTGAATTAAATATATTTTTAGTTTTTCTTATAAATTTTTAAAATGCTAAAAAAGTAAGAAAGAATGTACAGAGGATTTTTCTTCATGATTTTTGAAATGAATTTTGTTAAAAAAAAAAATAAAATGAGGAAGATTATTTTAAATAATTTTTTTAATGTTATAACATTATTTATGTATGTTATAATGTTAACATAATATTGTTAATATTATGTTAATAAACAACATGAATAATATTATAAATTTTAACATAATATTGTTAATATTATGTTAATAAACAACATGAATAATATAAATATATTTTTGTTTTAAAAAAAAATTTAGAATACTGAATTCTATGACTTTCTAATAAAAATTTAGAAAAATTTGTTTTTGTTGAAGATTACTGATGTTTCATATTTGTAAATTTTAAATTACAAATTTTTATCCTCAATCTCTCAGCGTCTACATAATTTTCTGCCTAATGTAGATATTGAGGCCTTCTTATGATTGCCGAAGTGAATGAAATTTTTGGTATTATGATTAGCGAATTCGCCTAAATTTTGGCAACTGAGCTGTCAAATTGTCGAATGAAAATTCTGTGTGACAAGCTTAGCGAATGAAAATAAGATTAAAACATAGTGTTTTTTTTATTGGATATTGTGGTGATATACTTAATGGAAAAATCTAAACCAGAGGTTCCCAAACCCTTTTCCCTCATAGACCCCTTGTAATGTTTTTGAATTTTTGATAGACCCCTTAATACTTAATACTTATTTAACTAAATTCATATTTTTTTTGTAGACCCCTAGAGGTCTTCATGAACCCCTGGGATATATAGACCACTTTGAAAATCACTGATCTAAACTGTAAAGTAAGTTCATAAAATTCTACAATTGTAAAAAATATTGATTGTTTAATATTAATTTAAGCGCGAAAAAAACGAATCAAAAACAATTTGATCATTTAAATAAATTAATGGACAACAACCCCGTAATTGCTAAAGGATAGAAAAATTCAATTGTTTTTGCAAAAAAGCAAAAAAATGTAACGTACATATGTGATGTTAACCTTATTTTTTTTGGCAGGTCTTTTGACGTCTTGCGGTAGCAACATTTTAGATCTGGTGAATGAAAGCATTCGCCGATCATAATTTAAAATATCATTCGACTCGCCTAGTCCATTCGACTCGCTTAGTCATTCGCTTCGCCAATCAAAGGGTATAAAATTGATTCATTTGTATGAAATTCTAACTTTTTATACGGGAATGTTGTTTTTCTAAATCACTGTTTATTTCGATTCAAACCGAAATGCTACACAAATTTATAAGCAAACAAGATCAAAATTCGCTTATGAGAAATCAATTCGATTGTCAGAAATCAAAATGAAGGTGATTTGTTTTTTAATTGCTTTCTTGTAAAACGACCATATTTATAAATGAACGAGATCAACAGCCAGCATATTAAATTAAGTATTTAATTGTTATCTTGTGAAAGGACAGAATTTGTAAATAACTTTTGAACACTAGATAATTTGGGAGTATTCAAAAATTGAACAAAAAACATATTTCAATCGAAATACATCAGAACATGAACAAATTAAGCACTGTTTTTATTAGCTTTGTTATTTTGTAAAATGTGAAACCGACCAAGCTGAGTACTAATATATGATAATAGTATTATATTTATTTTATGTCAAACATTCACATATTGGAATCCGTTTTTCCAAAAAACTTGATAATCTTGTTGGAATACAAAATTCAAATATAAAATTTCAAAATATTGAGTAAGATTTTTCCTTAGATATGGTTGAAAATGTAAATTGGTAATCTAATTGTCCATACAAAATTTGATGAAAATACGAGTGAAATTATTGTAAAATAAAATCAATGATCAGTCAAAATTTGAAAAACAATAATAAAGTAAAAATTTAATAGTATATATGTATCGTTCAAATAATTTTAAAGGTTTCTGTGTACTATGCATTATTTAACTCCAAACTGCAATATGGGTTGGTTTGTTGGGGTGGGGCATATTTAAATAAAATAAAACCACTACTTATATTGCAGAAACACGCCATTAGAGTTATATGTAGGAAAGGTATATTAACTTCATCTTTGAATTTGTTTAAACATTTAAATATTTTACCTATAAGAAACTTATATCTCTATAAAACTTTAAAAATTTTTTATTTAAAATCTGAAAATTTTATTATTAGACAGTCTAATAACTACAATTTAAGATCAAACTATGCCAGACTTTTTCATGTTCCTAGATTTCGCAATATTCATTTCACTCAATCTTTCAGTTATACTGCACCGAAAATATTTAATACACTACCAGCTGAAACTAGATTTATCAATTCTAGATCTAGATTTGACAAACAAACAAGGTTCTGGCTTTCTAATTTAAATTACAATGAAACTGAAGATCTTCTACGTGTTTTGGTGTAATTTAATTTAATTTTAATTTAGGTTTATTACTTTTTTTCTTTTTCTTAATTTTGTATAATTTTCTTTTTAATTTTAAAAATTCTATATTTTGTATTATTATTCGATATTATTCTATTTTTTTTTTATGAACTTCTTGACTTTGTGTCACTTTTCTCTTCTTTAATTTTAAAATGTATTTTACTTTTTTGGAACCCCAAATAAAATAAAATAAAATAAGATAAAATAATCTTTGTAAATATATTATAAGTATATAAAACTATGGTAGGGATTAACCAACACTTGTTTAGTACAAATGGTTAATTTACTTCTTTATTTCCAACTATTTTTAAGTAAATAATTAGCTATTGAATTGTAAAATTTTTACTTTGGTTTGAAATAAATGAAATGAAATGAAAAAAAAAAAAAAAAAAAAAAAAAAAAAAAAAAAAATGCGAATGTAAATATCTGAAGTTTTCAAAGAGGTGCTTTTGTTTGACCAATATTATCAAATTCCGAATAAATAATTTTCATAACGGCATCACTGAGTCGAAAACTATAATAATATTATATGGCAAGGCTATGTACTTTTCCTAAAGACTTTTTGAGTTATAATTACTTTATTTCATTCATTCTTTATTCTTTATCTTTTTCTCTTTTTACTTCATTTGTATTTGCTATTTCGTATGAAATATTTGCGCGGTGAAGTGTGTTTTGTGTCGGTCATATTTTGAAAAAAAAGGTGTTTTTTTTTGCTTTGGTTTTGAAAATTTTAAATAGAAAAAATCGGTTAACAAGTGTTATTAATTTCGCGTTTTTATAATATAAGAATTAAAATAAGGATAAAATCAAAAATTTTAAATAAAAAAAATCTTGCGTTTAAGGTAAGATAAAATTTTATAAGCTAAATGATTAATAAATTGGTTTTTGCAAATTTTTGAAAAAATCGATATTGAGAATTACTGTATAAGGAAAACGGCTTCCTCTTTGCTCTGCATTATGCGCATTTTAATTTTTGAAAGAATATGAAAATTGTCTAGGGTTTGATATACTTTGTTAAGTAAAAACTATTAGGAAATTAAGTATATTAATTTAAAATTTCATAAAACACTGACTTAAAGTGCTTCTAGTAGTGTTTAGGTACACTACAATGTAGTACCTAATGTAGTTACTTGTAGGTACATAATATAGTAGTTTATAATATTCATGAATAAATAACTGTTCGGGTACCTTCATTAATATCTCGTAATTGTATGTTCCTACTGATTATACAAAATAAAATCAGTGAAAAACCAGTTTACATTTTAAATTTTGTCGGTTAAAATTTTACACATTTTGTTTTTAAGCTTTATGTAGCCAATTATAATTCTTTCATGCATTCCATATGTACATAGATACATCTGCGTGTATATGTTAAAGTAAGGCGTGCAAAATTGTTTTATAATCAAATAATGAAAACTAACCAAGGGCTTCAAAAAAGCCCGCGACATTGTTAAGTATCTCATATCTATGTTAGTTAAATAAATGCATACATACATGTATGTACGAATGTGTTATGTAAGCCTACTCATAAATAAATTTATTGTAATACATATTGTATATAAACAGAAACATGAGATATTTAAATACATACATACATACATATGTATGTTTACATCGTAAATGTTTTTGTGAAATTTCTAATTTTTGAAATTAACTAAAATAATAACAGACTCATAACGATGTAGGCGTAATATTAAAAATCTCTCTGAACTGATTTGGTGTACCTACTTACTAAAAAGCTGAGGTGTATGATCATTTGCGCTTATGTTGTTTAAAATTCTTATTTTATAAACATGAACGTAATTTTGTACATAATAAACTCGAGTTAAAGTTGATTTACAAACGATTTATAGTCCAGTTATACACGCGTTTTGTGCGTCACAGAATTTCTACAGCAGGTGAAGGTTCAATACAATACACATAATGTATACAATACATTATGTAAAATTGGTAGAAAGAGTGAAAGAATTCTAAATGGCAATGTGCATATGTATACGCCGTATTCTCAAATAACATGGTTATAAAAATGTCAGAATTAAGTAAATTTATATAAATTTATAGAATTAAGTAAATTTATATAAAATCAAAAAAATATGCATGTAACTAATTCCAAATCTTATGTAGAATATTTTAGTTAATTAAAGTTAATGTATTTGATAGTTAATTATATAGTTATGTTCAAATATATCTTAAGTTATATAACAATTATAGTTTGAATTATATAACTTGAATTGTTAAGTTATATAGAAATTATAGTTTGAATAACTTAAGATATACCGTAATTATCCGATTGAGTAAAAAACACGTTAATTTTAATTAGTTGATTTATTTTTATTTTTGACTTACTGTTGCTTAAAAATAAATAATATGTATTACTTATTTTACAAAAGTTGAATTATCTCAAATTATATAAAAGTTTAATAAAATTTTTTATTTTACTTAAAGAAAATCGTGTTGACATTTCCAATTCAAAAATTTTTTTTTTGTAGATAAGATCATCTTATTTTTTATTTGCTTATCTCTAAATATTCAAAAATCAAGTACCGGTACATAATTGAAATCTTTACATTTTTATGCACCTTTATTTGCATGAGTTCAAACATAATTAAAAAAGTTTGTTCATGTAATAATGCTAAAAAGGTAGTTAAGTAGATACCTATCTACTTATAAAAAATTTCGATCAGTTACATGTACGTTATTTAGCAATAAGATCTAATTTTAGCTAGTTCGAAATTTTTCTAGTTGATGAGTGCCTACCAATATATATATATAAGGATATAGATGTATATTTTTTGTACCTATGTATTTATTTTTTAATTTTAAAGTCTGTGTATCAATTATGAAAATTCATTACAAACAATTACTTTTATCATTAAGTCATTTATTTTAGATGTTTTTACTATTATAATTTTTTTTGCAAAAATTATATATGAATACTGAAACCTTCCAACCTAAATAGAAAATCGGAAAATATTTTTGACATTTCAATCTATTTCCTGCAAAATTAATTTAATCACACTTCTTTTAATCCAAAATATTTAAATACATATAATATAAACAGTATCTTTTTATAGAAATTAATTTTAAACAATGACGGTGTAAGATGTGATAGTGATAAAATATAATTTAAAAGTGTTTTGCTTAATGTCCTAAATATATTGGAATTTTATCAAATTGTAAATTATTCGCTATTGTTGTGCTTTTTTTATTAACTAATGTGTTTAAAAAGAAAATATTCTAAGTAATGGTACATCGCATTTTCCGGCAAAATACACTAAATGTATAGGTACATAATATTCATTATTTATTCTCAATGTTAAGATTAAAACGAGATTTTCAAAGGGATTTTCAAGGACAAAAATGTACAATACATTTAATGGATTGAAGGAAACAGTAAAAATCAGCAACACTAATAATATGTATGTATTAATAAAACGCTATTTTGTTTTTTTCGCTAAATGAGACGGTGAATATAAAAATGCATAAAGATATGCAAGGTAAACTTCAAAACTATTTAAGAAAAATTTAAATATATATATATATATATATAGATTTGTGTATATGCAAATATATATATATGTATGTACACCCCAACTTAGTTAGGCACTAACCGCCTACCCAACTTAATTTTGAAAAACATGAAAACTGCTTGGGGAATGATTGAATTGTCAACACTACTTTCTATCTTTTGTTATTTACATTTTTTATTTTATTTATATGTTAATCTAATTATAGATAATGTAATAGATAAGTTTTGTTGGACATTTCAATCTGTTGTTTTGTTTCTTATATGTATGAAAATATTTTTTAACTCAAGATTATTATTTTTATGATTTTCGTAAAAATTCTCGAGAATTCGAATTTTATACATTAATCACATAAATATTATGGATGTTAGTACACTTATATAATACCTACATTTTTTTCAGCTACATTTTTTAAATAATATTACGTGTTTGAAAGTATGATTTAAAATTGTTCTTTATAAAAAAATCTTTATAAAAATTCCTTATCGCCTCTATGATTTGTGATTTTTGAGGCTTCGTACCAGAAGCTGTAAGCATTATAATGTAGAACCTCGTTGCATTAAGGTGATACAACATTTGAATTTAACCATTAACATAAATTAAATTTAACGTTTAATATGATATTACTTTTCTTGACAGTCTGGCAACATTGTGTTATGTATTTTAAATTTCGTTGACATTCTGTCATCTGCTTCGCCGACTTTAATATCTGTCAAAATTCAGGTTATTTTTTTTCTTTAAGGTTAGTTTAAGTTATAAATATCTAATTAATTTAAAAAGAATTTTAGCAATTTTAAAGAAATCGTATTACATCCAAAAATATTTAAAGTGATTATTTATCTAAAATTTAAAGTTAATATATTAACCGTTTCATTTTGTTTTATAAAAATTAAGAGAAGAATTATTTACTTATACAAATTTATCTTATACGTATTTTGTAATTCTATTTTTTAGGTATAAATAATTCAGTACAATTTGAATACAAAAAGTTTGACTTAATATTAAAGTGGGTTTTTTGCAAGAGAGTATAAAAAAGTACGTTATAAATAACTGCTAAATTTTCATAAATAAATGATGGACGATTTCAAAGAGTGGTTAATATCGAAATTAAAACCCTTAGAAATAGATGAAAGTGTTTTTGGGGAATATATTATTGGAATATTAGAAGATAATGATAATGAAAACGAAAAGGTGGAATCCTTGGAAGGTATTTTGCCAGAAATGAGTGAACTAATTAAAGAAATAGTTCTAAAATGGAATGATTTTAATGTAGATGTTAACAAAAAAACAGAACAATCAGATTCAAAAGAAATAGATATTGTTAAAGATATGGCTGATATATTAGAGAAGAAATTAGCAACATCCGCTGCGGTTAAAACCTATACAGATGATGAAAAACGTATTAGAGAACAAATTTTACAAATATACAGTCAAACTGACGTGCCAGAGCATGATGAAGATTGTTTAGATGCATGTGATGACGGTGATGCTGGGTTAGAAAAGAATACAAATTTTTTAGATGTGCAATTAGCTCAAAAGGCTCGTCGAGAAGCAGCTAAAGCTGAAAGTTTAAAAAAGAAAGAAAAAGATAAAGAGGATCGTGAAAAGCAAAAACAATTAAGAGAACAGAAAAAAGAAAAGAGAAAAACAGTTAAACAAGAAAGAAGAAAATAATTTTTTTTTGTATTTTTTTTTATAGTGAATAATGTAGGTAACCTCTTTTACTTAATAATTAGATTGTCTATGCAAATACAAAAAGAAACGATTAAAATATAAAAACGATATGAACATACATAAGTTGATAATATTTCTATTTTCCCAAGGAAAAATTAAAATCTAAAAATAATAAATGATGAATTTGTTGATTATTACCAAAAAAAAATTGTTTTATTTTAAATTTGAAACATGGTCGAATAACCGTGAATAAAATTTAATTTAATAACTGTATATTTACTTACGTATTGTTAGGGTTTTAAAAGGCTACATATTATCTATCTTCAACGAAGTTTAAAAAAAAAAAAATTAATACTTACAATGAGGGCAGTTCAATACTTTTGGATTTTGTTTTAAAACCCGCTGGTGAACATACTTTTATGACTATTTCATAATTTGCAATTTAAATAAATAATTTTAAAAAATAATTGAATGCATCAAGTATTAAGATAAGGCGTAAATCTAAAGATAACTTAATTTATATTACAGTACAATCACAAATTATATATTTGTATAGGTTTTTTTAAAAGTTCAATTACATAATATTAAATATTAATATTTTGTTTTACAATTTTTGAAGAAAGATTATGTAGTAAGAAAGGTGTTTGTATAAATAACAATAATTAAAAATTTGCCAAATTTGTGTTGTTCTAATTAAGAAAAGTCATAAATTAAAATCTGTTATTTAAAAGTAATTTTATTGCGGAAAATAGAAACTTTCGATCAAAGTCATTTCCTTTGTACAATATTGTTGCTTTTTATTTTTAGATAATTGTAATAATTTAATATTAGCCAAAATTATCTACTTAACACAAGAAAATTGTTGTCTGTAAGAACGTACATACATAATTCAAAATTCATTTAAATTGTTCCGTTCTATTAAATATGGAAAACTTGTATTAATATTTTTTCTATTTTTCAAAAATTTTTCATTTGTAATTGTATTTGTAATTATTCATGCTCTCTGTTTCTCAATCAGTGTTAAAAAAAACACTGGACCTTATCCAAATAAAAGTTCTTTAATTTTTTTTTTTTTTTATATAAACATGTTTTTTGTTTACACATAAGTAATTTTTAAAGAGTATAGTGTGATAATTTTTATAGAGTACTTAATTTTTGTTTATATTATAAAGTACTGTTTTCAATCATATGTTAGTTTAAAGAATGATTAAGAACTTATATACATAACGTTCATGTTTACTTATAAAAAGGTACTCATTTGTGTAAATGTTGCCTATTAATTTGAAAAATAAATATATACATATATTCACAATTCATTTTCAATGCTTTGATTCTAATAAAAATTAAAAAGTCACTTTTTCATATTTTTACATCCACTTGTACTCTATCTAGACGCTTTGATAATTATTTCTGATTTAAAAATAGGGGACGTAGCAAATAGTAAATTTGTAATGTTTTTATTTAGAATGAATAACTGGCCGCATATAAAAAACTTATAAGTTATGATAAGCTATGAGTTAATTTGCGTAAACACACTAACAATATTTATTAATTATTATTAGTAATTAAATAATATATAATTATTATTAATCATTGATGTACTACTATATCCCGGATTTTCATGTCTTACTAAAATTTCTTATAAAGAAGAATAAAGTTTGTTTTTTCTGGCTTAGTTAGTTGTTTTCAAGAAATGAATTTAATTTAATATGTAAGATTATAAAAACAATGAATTGCACTAGAGTCTCAATCGCATTTTGCAAATTTGAAATGAATTTTTGAATTAAAAAAACTCAATAAACTCTTGGTTCTTATTTATCTACGTATTAGTTTACAACAAAATGTAAAAATATAAAAATAGTAAAAAAAAAAATAAAATAATATGCGTAAATTGGTTTTTTGTTGTGTTATACATAGTCAGTTTCTTGGTTCATTTCAATGACTGAGGGCTCATTTATGATTTTAGATTTTCTATAAAAATTTTTTATGTATTAATATTGAAAAATGTATAAAATTCAAAAATGTATAAAATTGAAAAATTTTAACGAAAATTTTAATGAAAATATACATAATTCGCTATAATAATGTTCCATAGTAGAAAGTTTTCGTGCTTAATTTGTATTATCATTTGTTAAAGATCATCATACAGATCAAAAAAAGAAAGAAAAGAAGAAAAAAAGAAATATACTTAATAATTTTTGATTCAATGACTTGTGACAAACGAAAAAGCACATTAAATAAATTTTCTATTGTTTTCTTTTATAGTTCCAATAATTTTTTGTTTTAAAAAAAAAATTAACTAGTTTCTTCACCTCTATGCAATTTTTTGAACTTGATTTTATTGTACTGTATTTTTTAATTATTTTTAATCAAACAATAGCATATTGATTTATTCAAGTTGTACCACAATTTGAGTTTTCCAATGAAATATTTAAAAAAAAAATATTAAACTGAGGAAACTCAAAAGGAAGTATATTTCCCGAATACTCAAATAATATTATCAATCAAAGACTGAACTTTGATGAAAATTTCTAAAAGGCAACGTGGAAGTAGACAGCTAGAACATAATTATTTTTACAAACAAAAATATATATAATATTTTAACGTATTGAAATTTAATTTTATTAATTAAAATAGATACATATATGTATGTGAATTTTTATGAAATGTTATTACGTCCGTACATACGAGTATACTTAGTCAAAATTTAAAATTTATGAAATTTCGATTAATTTCGATTAATTCCTAATAAACATTAAAATTTTATTTAGAAAAAAATTAATCGAGTTTTAAAAGTTACAGAACAGAATTATCACTTCTTGCACTTAAATATCTTCTTGTTCTACAAATCATCCAATAAAAGTGTACTACATTATCACATTGATAGAAAAAATAGTATTAACATAAAAATCCGTTTATTAGTTTGAATAACATTTTAGATACTAAAACAAACATACACATCTAATATGCATGTATATTTTGAATTTTTTGCAATGTTGAGTTTCCCATGTTTTTAAAAGTTTCCCCAGGTTTTTGAAATTTAAGAAACTAGTTTTTAATATTTGATCACGCAATCATGCAAAATGTCCAATGTTTTCTTTTCTCAAAATATGTACATATATGAATATATGTAAATTATAGTGTTTAAAAGGAAAGAACGGAGTTAATAATTTTGAAATAAACGTAGTGATAGAAATGCAAATAGAGTGATGGGTTTACTATTTCCTATTATAACATAAAATTATAACATATTATCATTATACATTTTATAAAAAAATCATTAGCATGTAAAATTTTAACATATTATAAAGTATGTTACATGTATTATCATCTTCCAAATAAATAAAATTGAAGTAATATTAACTTGTAATTAAAAATGATGTGTTCGTCATATAAATTTAACACACAAAAATATGATTTTACTGATAAAATTATTATAAATATCTCCAACTTTGCTAAAAAATAACGATATTATTGGAATAACAACAAATTGTGAACTTTTCAATAAATGTAGAGGTAGTGTAAAAGCAAATTCCGACAAGTAATGTCATTTTTAAAACAAAATATATTATGAAAACAAAATAACCCCATACAAACCAAAACAGAGTTTTTGTACAGAGTAAAACAGAGTTTTTGACCCCGTATCTAAATTGCTTCTGTATCTCTAAACAGATTTCTTTAGCTATCAAAATGGTAAGATGGTACAGAAGAAATGTTTGGCAAAAATTCAAGAAAGCTCTAATTTTCATTATAAATAATTGTAGTATTCTCTATCAATGACGATGGTTGTGAAATTATATTAGAATTACAATTTTTATCAAATCATTTGTTTTACGATAATCAGTTTTAATGTTAAAATTCTATTACATACTAAGTTTATGTATTGAGCATAACCTAGATCAAAGAAGTGAAAATTGTACATAGTAATAAAAAGTATAGTAGTAAAAAGTGACGATATCAAAAATCATAAAAAAAAATTACAATACTAAGCTTTTTTTTGTTTTTTTGTCTTTTTTAACTGTCGTTCTCATTTTTCTTTTATTTTAATTTTTTTTTTTGTTGTTATTCCCCATAATTTACATTTGCCAAATGCCAAGCATTCATTTCCCCATTGTTTTTCATTTTCCTTTAAATTTAATTCGTCAAATACTATTTTTATTAGACTCTATACTTATGGTGGTCGCGTATATTATAAATTAAGAATCCCATCCATACCGTTAACAAGTAAAAATTTTTGTTAAAACTTATCATCAATGTAATTAAGCCATGAGTGTACTTTCTATTTCTTTGTTGCTGTAAAAATAATTTCAACTCGTGAAATCTCTTTTAAGTGTAGACTGTTAAAATTTCACCAAAAAAACTTTGGTAGGGTCTCTGTTCTGCAAAATTTAGTGGAAATAGTTTGGGTTTTATAGCAGCTGTAATTACAAAAGTTTAATTTTACCTTATCTAAAGCTGGATTCACTGATGTGTTTTGTATGAAAATTTGGATTTTTAACATTCTCTTTATTTTTAGAGCAGCATTTTCTCTCTCTTAAAAAGTTGAATCAACTACAACTTTAGTGCGGAGATTTTTTAAAAGGTCAAATTTACGTATACTGAACTATTACAACTACATCATATAATTCTTGTCAAAAAAGTAATAATTGCATCATAATAAAAAAAAGGATCAGTTTTTTTCAGACAAACCAATGAACAGTCAAGAGAAAAAATAGTTCGACTGCAAATAGCTCAGCTCAAAAACGACGAACCAATGAATCAAGCTTAACTGTTACTCAGAATAGCAGTAACATCGTATGTTCGAAAGGTATACTAAATTTGCCTTACCGTTTGTTACGCTAAGAAATAACGGTCTTAGATATAGACTCAAGTGTATGTTTTTGATCAGCGTCAAATTCTGAATTGATTTAGCTTTGTCTGCCGTCCGTCTGTCCGTCCGTCCATCCGTCCGCCCGCCCGTCCGTCCGTCCGTCCGTCCGTCCGTCCGTCCGTCCGTCCGTCCGTCCGTCCGCCCGCCCGTCCGTCCGTCCGTCCGTCCGTCCGTCCGTCCGTCCGTCCGTCCGTCCGTCCGTCCGTCCGTCCGCCCGTTCGTCCTTCCCAACGATAACTCAAAAACTAATTGAGCTAAGTTCACTAAATTTTCACAAATGATTTATTGTAGTAGGTTCCAGAACTCTATTTAAATTGGTCATGATCGGGGTACTGGTTCGGGTAGCTGCCAT